CTGGTCTTGTGACCCCTTGTTCTCCCCCACCTTGCCTATGGGGGTGTGTCAAACATTAATCACATAGCCTGTTTAGGCTGTAGTGGGGTAGACACTATGGGGTACAGTTTGTTAGGGTTTCCTATTTGTACCCAACTCATTTCCTAGTTTTTCATTCCTCAATTCTTTCACACAACAATCATCAATCCAGCACCACAAACCCACAGTCTAGTGGTGCCACCCACAGTTTTCGGGAGCCATGCGCGCTTCGTCAACTGGGATGTGCGGTCGGGCGTTGGGGTTTCGGGGAGTCCTTCTTCTCCCTTGCTCTCTTACAAACGCCCCACCCAGCCATTTTCACCGCGATTACACTAATTCTCTCCCCTTTCACGTCAGTCCGTCTTCTCGCCATGGCGGACGATGCGGAAGCTGCTGAATCCCCCACCCCACGGCCCAATCCACTAGTCACGGGCCTATATTTCCTACACCGCTCCTAGCCTGCCGCCGTGTTAGGCTCGTCTTCGCCGACTCGCGTTCCTAGGGCACCTTCCCCGAATCGCCATGATGTTACTCCTGTTTCATGGCCCGCTGTTAATGCTAGACGGGCTTTCAGCAGCACACCGCCCGTCTCCCCTAGTTCCTCTTCTCGGAATACACCAAAGCCTAGATCGCAAGCGGCGCCTAGCACTTCACGTGGTACTGTCGTGCCCCGTTTCCCCAAGGCAGGACGATATACCCAGAGCACACTGCGGATTGCTAAGGCAGGGGTTCCACACGTCCGCATCGTGGCACGCCCCACCACAGCGCCTAGAGTAGGTGCTTCATCAACTCCACCAGCAGCTCATCTGACAGGTGATCCTGGGCCTTCTAGGAGCACCATCCATGTCCCTGATCCAGACGCGCTAATGGAGAAGCTGCACGAACTGTCAAAGGAATATTGGCTGGACAAATTCAAGTGGCTGATTATCACGCAGAGGAAGGACGGGACTCCGTGCATGAAGTGCAGCATATGTATGGCTCACGGTCCTGCCCACTGGAAGTTCGGTAAACTTGGCGACGGTGGCGTTGATATCCAGCGGCAAACGATGCGGAAGCACGCGCTCAGCCAGAAGCATCAGGACGCCGTCAATGCCAAGCTTCGCGCAGAAGGCGGTAAGGTTGACCAACGGGGCATTGAGCAGTTCGAGAACGACGACAACGAGACGTCGCGGCTGAAACAACTGATGCTGGTCGTGCTATTTATCTGCACTTCCGATTCCCCCATCTCCCTTTATGTTGATCTTGTTCGCCTGTTGGCCGAGCTTCAGATGCCGCACATCCCGGACAAGGCCATAGGGACATACCAGTCAGCGTGAGTGATGATAAGTTCTTGGTTTGTGTTTCTGGAATCACAACGACTAATACCACCTTGACTGTGACGTGCAGGTACGGCTTTCGTGAAATAACCGAAGCGATCGTCACCAACCTTAAGCAGCAGCAGATGCGCCACATCCAGGCGTCTCCGTTCCTAGGCATTCAACTCGACGAGAGTACCGACCGTCGCAGAGGCAAGCACATGATCGTCTATCTGAGCTTCATTCGCAACGCAGAGGTCGTCACCGAGCTGTTTGGGCACTTGACAGTCGAGAAGTGCGACGCGTCATCTCTGTTGACGGTACTTCTCGCCCATTTGGCCGTCACGGGCGTCGACATCATGAAATTGTCGGGCATTAGTACGGATGGCGCGAGCGTGATGCGGGGTTCACAGGCTGGAGTGGCGACACAGCTGAAACTGCGAGTCCCACACCTGCTGACGTGCCACTGCATCGCTCACAGGTCCGTTGTCAACATTTGTGTGTTGATTGTTTATGATTTTGTTGTCACACTTGTTGCAGTGTTCTAACCCTTTGTTTCCGCACACATGCAGGGAGGCTCTCGCCGCGAAGGACGCGGCGGAGGCGGTGCCCGACCTCAACATGGTCGACACGGTCGTGCGGAGCGTCGCAGAGAACTTGGGAAGGAGCATCGTCTTGCACTCCCGGTTCATGGAACTCCAACACATTCTGCACGAGACGTCTCTGGAGGTGCAGGGGTTTAAAGACGTTCGATGGCTGGCGCGTGGCGACTCGATTCGGAGGCTCGTGACAGTCCTACCGGCGGCAATAGTGGTGTTGTGGGAGCACGACAAAAAGGCATACGCGACAGTCACAAGCTTCAAGTTCCAATTTTTCCTGTTCTTCCTGGCAGATGTGCTGAAACTGCTCAACGAGCTGAACCTCAAGTTTCAACGGCGCACGGTGAGCACTTGTGAGGTCCGTGCTGATATTTATGCATATGAGCGGCTATGACTACTGCTTCTTGCCGTGTGCAGGTGGACATCACCCGGGTGGCATCAATGGTCCACAACACGTGCGACAAGCTGAAGCAACGATACATCGAGCACGGCGCCAACTACGCTGAGGATAGCGAGTTGCTGACAGAGTTTTTGGAGAAGCATGGACCATTGAACAAGCGGGAGGTGACTGTCGAAGGCATGGATGGGGAGGGAAGTCCCGTCACCCACACTTTCAAGCTGCACGAGGACGCCGTCAAGGGTCAGAAGTCCAAGGGAGACATTGAATCTTGCATCACTATAACCTCCCGTTTTGCGCAGGAAGTTGTGAAGCACCTCCTGAAGCGGATGGAGAGCCTAGACACCCTCAGTGGAGCGAAGCTTTTTCTGCCTGACGCGTACCCCGAGGGTAGCGCGAAGAGATACCGCCTCTGCGCAGCCTGGTTCCAGTCTCTCCGCGAGCTGTTCAGTGCGGAGAAGTGCGTACTTCCAGGTAGGTGTGTGTCTATGGAGTGCATCAATGTTACACACTCAGTGTTATGTTCCCAAAGACTTACCTCCCCGTCGCCCCCCCCTCTTGTACTTGCTTCTGTGCGTGAGCAGGAGTGAGCTGGAAAAAGGCGGGACGAGAACTGGCGCCGTTCACCAAGATGATGGCATCGCAGTACAAGGACCAGACATTCCACGCCGGCCTCAAGCACATGTTACACAGTGAAGACTGGGAGACGAGCTACCCCAACATGGTCCGCATCTGGATCGCTCTCGCCGTGCTGCCGTTGAGCACCGTCGAGTGCGAGCGCGGCTTCTCGAGGCAAAACATCATCAAATCCTGGCTCCGCGGTAATCTGTGCAACACACGCCTGGCGGATTTGATGTCCGTGTCGCTCCTGCAGTATGAGCCGAACTGGGACGAGGTGGTGGCTGCTTGGAGGGGGGCAAAGAAGAGGCGCCCTGCTAAGGAAGTGACGACCAAGTGCACTCCAGAGAGAGCCCCTAAGCGGAAGGTCGAGAGAGGAACGTCAGCTGCTGCCTCCAATGAAGACGAAGATGATGAAGATGTGGTAAGGCGGAGGACCTCAAAGAAGCTTAAGGCATGTGCAGCTGTAGCCGTGTCGGACGACAGTGATGATGACGACAATGGGCTTGATGTCCGTGCCACAGTGGCGCTAGACTCTGATATTGAGTAGAGTAGAGTAGATGTAATGTAACACCTAGTTTGAAGTTTACTAATATACTCTTGTGAGGTGATAGTTCTTATACTGAACTTGTACAAGTGAATGATTTCAGCAAATGCCAGTATGCTCCAAAAAAAAAAAAAAAAAACAGAAATGCAAGTGCACCGTAGTCTGACACAACAGACAAAAATTCTGAAAATTCCTGATCAAACAGACAGGGAAGCACTCATCCTACTGATGAAGTTGACGGGCCCGAAGGGCCCGTCTGCTCCATCAGGTACCCTTAGATCCTAGCGACGTCCCTGCCTGAGCCACTGTGAAGAAACTGTAGACATATAGGACTGAAGAAAAAAATAAACCCCTGTAAGATGGCACGCCCTTCGTGAGGCATCAACCCTAAACACCATGCGATAATGTGTTTAGGGTTGATGCCTCTCGAAGGGCGTGCCATCCTTCAGGGGTTTATTTTTTTATTCAGTCCTAGATGTCTACCGTTTCTTCACAGTGGCTCAGGGAGTTTCAGCTTTCCTTGAGGGTTTCATCGAGTGACCATTCGTGATAGAAATGCGGGGCAATGAGTGACCATCCGTGATATTCAGTGACTATCCATGATAGATTTTCCCGTTTCAATGACCATTTGTGATAGCGCGCCCTTGATAGTGACTATTTGTATAATAGCCCAAAAAGAAAGGTTTAACGAGGAGATCTGACCGTCCATTCATGTCAAGCGCACCCATATCATTTGTCTGCCCATTTCCCCAAAACCAGGGAGCATTCTAGCTTCGTATCATCAGGCATCAGGTAGAGCTGCCGAGCTCAGCTTCCGGTCATTGTCACCTCCCTTTTCTCTGGGTGTGTTGACTCCAAGTATCCTAGGGATGTCCCACTTCGTGTGAACTACACCGTGGAACTTCGTAACAGCTCAGAATGTTTTATAATGTGGTTTAGTGTGGTAGAGATTCGAAAGTCAGCACCATACTTTGGCGATAGTCCCATTTCCTCGGATGACGTGGTTCCAACAAAAATAGCTTCTGGTGATCGAATCTATGGCGTCTCTACATAGCACGATCCGCGCTGCCTGCCTCTTTCCCGCTGCCGGCTCTTCGCGTCTCCGGGCTCCCTTGAGGAGATTATCGGCATTGGCGCGCTTACCTGAGAAGAATAGTTGCAGCAAGTCATTTCGTCAATCCAGTGCTATCGAGTACATACGTAAACCTTTGGAGTCTCGCTCATCGCGCTTGGTACAGGAGCGTTTGCTTCGGTCAACTTCGTTACAATCACGTTCTGATTCAGCACCTCCGTCCTCCATAGTGGCATCGGCTGCGTCTAGAGAAGGATCAGCTCCGGCAGGTGCTGCTGCTTCGTTACAATCGGCTCCGTTATACGATGCAGTGCTTGTGGACGTCGGAGGGACACTGCTGAAAACAGCTAAGCCCGTTCAAGACACATACGCCGCATATGCCGGGAAATACGGTTCGTTACAAAATGCATCATTGTTTCCTGAATCAGCACATCGCTCTAGATTGACGTTACGAATGCCGAGACTGGATGTACGGCCCCTCAATTTTTCCATCATGTGCGCAGGTGTGACTGTATCGGCGGACGAAATAAAGAAGGGATTCAGGCGAGCGTTCGCGGAGCCATGGCCTCACGGTTTGAGATACGAGGCGCGTTTCTGAGTATCGCGCTATAAGTATTATAACTAGAAGTATCATGGTTTCCAGTGCCATTGTTTGAAATCTCGTTATTGCAAGCATTGTTGCAAGCATCATATTTTGCCAACTATCCTGTCATGTCTGTTTTGACCTTCATGCTAATAGTAGAGACTTTGCTGCCGATTGTGAAAGAAATTGGGAGTGAATGCGGTGGGAGTGAATGCAGTGGGAGTGAGTGCGGTGGGAGTTATTGAGGTGCCGTCTCACTGCTCTTCCTTCTCATTGTCCTACGCTTTGGATACCCCTCTCTCCCTCATTCCCAGGATACCCTACCCCTGTGTCTTCTCATCATAGCTGCTCCCTTTGATTACCCCTCCCTCCCTCATTCTCCCACGGACCACCAGGGAGACGGGCGGCCGTTTTGGCGGCATGCAGTGGCCATGGCGACAGGATCTGATAACCAGGACTTGTTTGAAGACCTTTACCAGGTACGTAACGAGAACCGTTTTCTTGTTTCTTTTCTTTTTGTGTAGTCGGTTAAAAAGAAAACCGCTGATGATTCGAATCAAATCCCCTTGTACTCCCCTCAATGTACGAGAACTCTAGAAAAACTCCCACTGCAAAGCCTTTCCTCTCGAAGCTCCCCTCTGTTGTTCTTCGCTCTGTGGCCTGCTCCAGAAGTAACGAAATGTTTGGATTCCGGTCCTGTTGAGCCGTCCTGCAGTACTTCCCATTCCCTTTCCATTGTGCTCTATGAGAATGCATTGGCATGGGGGGTGGCAGATGGTGCACTTTCAGGCGACACAGAAACCCTCCCCGCCCTGTCCTGTCATAACAAACGATGAGCTGAAGTACCTCCTCCACACCCCTCAACACCTCCTCCACACCCCTCAACACCTCCTCCACACCCCTCAACACCTCCTCCACACACCTCCTCCACACCCCTCAACACCGCCTTCCCTGGCAGACCTCGCATCGGCATGAAGGGTGGCAGATGGTGCAGTGGAGCAGGTGATGTGTGAGCCGTATCGGTACTCATTCACCCATTCACTCTCTTTCTTGTTATTTCCTCATCCCCTCCCCGTCTCGACCCACCCCTCCTGCCCCAGCAGCACTACAAGAAGGCATCGGCATGGAGGATGGCAGAGGGTGGAGCAGGTTACATGTGGGCCGAGTCGCTCATTCACTCCCTCACTCCCTCGCTCGCTCACTCACTCACTCACTCACTCACTCACTCTCGTTCCTGCTTCTGATCTGAACCTCCTGTCCCGGCAGCACTATAAGAAGGCGTCGGCATGGAGGGTGGCAGACGGTGCAGTGGATGCTCTGTTGAGACTCAAACAAGCCAACGGTGAGCGAGCCAAGATGCTTTTGAGTGCCTTGCTGTGTCTGAGACGAGCCGATGGCAAGCAAACCCTTTGTTTGAGGCGCCTGGGAGGGTAGCAGAGGTGCAGTAGTTGGATGCTTCATTGACAAGGCACTCATGAGGCGTTATAAACGAAAAGGTGGGTAAAACGAATAGGCGTCACAGAGGTGCCTCATTAAAGTCCAGTCTGTATGGCGATTGTTGTCATAGCATATGCATTTGGTGCATATGCAATAACATTTGGTGCTGGTTTAGTAATCATTCCAACGTATGACCATAGGTGCAGTTAAGGCTTATATGATAGAAGTGGCATAGGGGTGTAGAATATAGCGATGTGACTGTTGCAAAGGGGTGTAGAAGGGGGGAACCGAATAGGAGCGGTTGGGATGACGGGGGAAAGTTACCGAGGGGCGAAATGTGAAACCTGGAAACACCAATTCCGAGCCGCACATTGGGAAATGTGCAGCTTGGGACTGGGTATGGTCACTCACCCCCATCCCTTTGTTGCTTTTGGCCTGTTATTCTCTCGAACTAGTGAAAGTTGTCATCTTCGCTCTAGCACACCGTGGCACGTCACTAAGAAGTGCAGATGCAGGACAAGAAGGTCCTCGCGGAACCGCTCGCGGAGCTAGAGACGGACTGCGCGGATCCAAGGGATCAAGACATCAGGGACCTCACCCTTGCTGCAAAAGAGGAAGACCGTGGTGTAACGCGTAGAGTCGTCAACAACCAGTAGAAAGTAGCGCTCGCGGCCTTGTCCACTGACGCAGGTTGGGCCCCACACGTCAATGTGGAGAGACTGCAGGGGAGGAGTCATCGGGGGAAACGAGGAGGAGTGAGGAGCGGCGCGCTGCCGCCCATCGACGCAAGGAAGGCAGGGCGGGGCAGGCGAGGGCGGGAGGGGAGGCAGAGATCTGGGAAGACCAGAGACAAGGAGACGGGAGTGCATGCCACGAAAGCGTGGCAGGGAGGGGTGACTTAGGCGGTGGTGCCACAGAAGTGTCTGGTGCGACAGGAGGCGAGACGAGCAAGGAGGTATCGTTTTGTACGCTCTCGTATATACGCGAGAGTATATACGTTAGACGCTGGCCTTGAGGGGTCTGGTACGCACAAGAATACGCTTGCCCGAGCAGGGAAAAACTTTTTTCCGGGCAGATTTTTGGGGTAAGAGGTGGGGATGGGGGGGTGATGTCCGCTTATTAATATGAAAGTTACAGAAAAAAAAAACCGTAAAACTAATTTACCACTACATCTTCCTCCACCACATTCATGCTACCACCCCTCCCCCTACTCTACATGTCCTAGTACTCATCGGCCATCACATCATCCTCCCCCACCTCAGGTTCTTCCACCTCCTCGACGTTGTAGCCAGCCGGAGTGGGGGGGTCCTTGATGTTTCCCTTCACCACCCGCTGCCCTTCAGGGACCTTGTGCCAGTTATGCACAACCTGCCAATTGTGCGTCACGTACACGAGGTCCCGAAGCTTCTCCGCGCCGAGCCGGTTCCGGAGTGCCGCATGCACGGCATCAGGCCGCCGCGGTCATCGGCTGCGTGAGGGCGCGGCAAGCCATGGTGGTGAGCTCCGGATGTTCGGTCCCATGCCACGACCACCAGGCCGCCGCGGTCATCTTGCCCTCCTTCACTGCCGCAGGGTCGGCAAGAGCGGCGGGCATGCCGAAGCTGCCTTGGAGGTTTAGGAAGGCATTGAGGCCTTCCTGGATGACGAGAGAGGCGCGGCGCTCGACCCCGTCCTTCCTGGTGACTGTATGGTCGTCATAGTGCTTGGACACGTACTGTTTGAAGACCCTCGTGTTAGAAATAGTCAGTCAACACTTTGTACTATATTCTATATCGGTTAGGTTGCTTTGTAGGTTGGGTGTAGATTTGTAATCCCAACCCTATCTGGTTGGGATTCCCTCGTAATCCTGCAAATCTGCCAACTCACCAATTGGAGATTTGCTAGGATTCCCATCCCATCCTTTCCCTAGTTTTGCTCAACCCAACCCTGTTTGTACTTAAGGCCTAGTGCCTTCCTTATCAAGCAATCAGTTCAGTTCCAATTCTATCATGGTATCGAGCTAGTAAATTCCGCTCACGCGGAATCCAATCCTTGGCGTCCCGATGGTTCTCTCCTTTTAGGCTATGCCTATTTCGGTTCCCGGCTCCTACGCTTAGCGTTTTTCAAAAAACTTCACATCGTCGCTCCGGTCAAGCGCGCACTCGGCTTCCTTCATCGCACATCTCATTTTTCAACGGCGACATTCTCAGCTTTCGACTTCCTTCATCGTAAGCTTCTGGTTTTTATATCTCCGTTACAATTTTCGCATCTTCTTAACTTCGAACAGGTTTTCAGCGGCGCAGCGGAACAGGTCCAGCGGCGCAGCGGAACAGGTTTTCAGCGGCGCAGCGGAACAGGTCCAGCGGCGCAGCGGAACAGGTTTTCAGCGGCGCAGCGGAACAGGTTCAGCGGCGCAGCGGAACAGGTTCAGCGGCGCAGCGGAACAGGTTCAGCGGCGCAGCGGAACAGGTTCAGCGGCGCAGCAGAACAGGTTCAGCGGCGCAGCAGAACAGGTCCAGCGGCGCAGCAGAACAGGTCAGCGGCGCAGCAGAACAGGTCAGCGGCGCAGCAGAGAAGCGGAACAGGGGCAGCAGCGAAGCAGAACAGGGGGCATTGGCGAAGCAGTATATCAGGGTATAGTACAGGCATTCTATTGCCAAAATCGCGTTTCGAACTTCCTCAATTTCCAAAATCACCCGAACTCCGCTCCGCTACGTATCGGAGACTTTAGCGCTGCGCTCCGCGCGAAATGGCAACTTCAACTTCCACTCTCGTCGGAAACCTCATCATCCTTAACCTCGCTCCCAACGGAACGAGCACCAATTTCGGGGAGTGGTGCTATGGAGTGGAGAAGCACCTCCTTAGCTCGGAGCTCAAGGGGATTTGCCTCAAGGACATCCTCCTCAATCGCGGCAAGGGGAAGATGCCTCTCCCTCCCGATCCTCTTGGTGAAGGCGCCACTGCCACAGCCAAGCTTGCTTTCGACGCTAAAACCACCAAGTATGAGACGGACTTCAGTCTCTGGGAGCAGGCGGATGCGGCAGTGATTAGGGTTTTCATCACCACCACCCCAGTCGAGTTAGTCAAGTCCTACCGCACCTTCCGCTCTGCGCATGACATTTGGAAGTACCTCCAGGATCGCTTTCATGACAAAACTGCCGTGGGAGTTGCAATCCTCATTCCTCGCATGTTCCAAATCCACCTTGAGGAATGCCCGGGCATGGCAGACTACATCTCTGAAATCCGCAACATCCATGAGGAGCTCAAGGACATTGGGATCACCTTCCCCGAACAGGCACCTGCTGCTGGGCTTCTCGTCGGACTCACCCCGGCCTACAACGTCACCAGTTCCATGCTCAAGCAGCTCCCCACCAAGGAACTCACCTTCGAGAAAGTCGCTTCGGCCCTTCTCTCTGCCGAAAAGGACCTTGCAGCCCAGGCATCCGTCAATGCTGTGCGCTACTCCCCTGGCATCCCATTTCGTTCCCAGCAGGGCCAGAGGCGCAACTCCTTTCCCCCATGCCAGTACCTCATTAGGAAGGGTCCACGTGCGGGGCAGAAATGCAACGGCACCAACCACCCTGAGGCAACTTGCTTCAAGAAGCGAGATGACGAGTGGTATGACGTCCACGGTGTCTCCAAGGACAAGCGCCCTCCCAACTGGGCACCACCCCGTCGCGTGAACCAGGTCGAGGCAGTGGAGGAACCTGCTCAGGCATTTGCTAGTGCCCCATCTGATGTTCGCCTTAACCTGTTGTTCTCTGGTGCTGGTCTTATTAATGAGAAGGGGTCGCAGTACATCGGTGTTTCAACCACACAGGGAATTGAGTTCATACTAGACAGTGGTGCCACCCACACAGTGCTTAAAGACCAAACTGCCTTCGTTCCCTACCAGGCTCCCACCTCACTCCTTGGAGCCGATTCTAGCTTCTCCATCCAATGCCATGGGTCCTCCACAGTTTCCTGTCCAGCTTTCCCATCCGGCACAGTCACTGGCATCTGTGCCCCTACCCTCCGCTACAACCTTCTTGCACAGCGGGAAATCCAACACGCAGGCGTGATCACCATCTTTCCCAATGATGTTGACTACTGTGACATGTTTGACGCCAAAACCGGACTCCATCTTGCCCGCTTCACCCTCAACTCCAACAACCTGTACACACTAGTTGTACCTCCCGTTCAAACATGCTCTCTCACCAACCTTCCGCTTCCATCCTCAGACTCCCCCTCATGTCACTGCCGCCTCCTCAATGACAAGACTATGCTATTTCATCACCGCCTCGGCCACATCAACTTCCGCGCACTTTCAGACCTTGCCACCAAACAACTCCTTCATGGGCTGCCCGCCTCACTTCCACAACCCCCTTCTCTTTCTGGACCACCTTGCCTTGACTGTGCACAGAGCAAGCTTCGGGAACAGCCCCATCCTCCCACCGAGTCCACCTCTACCGCACCTCTTGATCGCGTACACATGGACCTTTGGGGTCCAGCTCCTGTTCGTTCCCGTGGCGGACACTTCTACTTCCTTGTCATCGTTGATGACTATTCCCGCTATGTGTCCGTTCACCTTCTCACCGCCAAATCTGAAGCCCCAGCCATTATCATGGAATGGGCAAGGCAGGCTCATTCACACTTCAAAACCAAAATCAAGATTCTTCACTCTGACGGTGGCGGTGAATTCCGCAACAACACTCTCGAAGCTTTCTGCTCTATTGAGGGTATACGTCAGACCTTCACCCTCCCAGACAGCCCTCAACAGAACGGTGTTGCTGAGAGCCGAAACCGCATCCTGGTGCAGATTGCTCGCTGCCTCCTCACTCATGCTTCCGCCCCTCCCTCTCTTTGGGGATACGCCATGCTCCATGCTGCCGCCCTCCACAATCTCCATCCTCATCCTCACCACACCCACACCACCCCCGCAGAGCT